CAATAGGACAGGGATGGTAGGCACAATTGGTGCGCGGGGTTTAAACATCACATACTATATGATCATGGAAATAGTTAACTCACTTTTATAGACACAAGCAGGCTGTACAAATGGTCCTGTCCCGCAACTGGTATCACTTTGCAAGCCCCTCCTTGTAAAGCCACCGCAGGTAGAGCTAGCACAGTGACATCACTGAACATTCTCGGTGACTGTGAAAGCATCTTTGTTTCTTGCCTGCTAGCAAAAACCAGGCCAGCTTGTTTTCTGTTGTCAATCAGCAATTTCCAAATAAGAAAGCACTGCAACCAGCTATCTTCTGCCTGGGTTTTGCTAGCAAGGAGTAACTAACAAGTCAATTTGTATGAGGGTGGTTTTTTGGGGGCGGGGGTGCAGTTTTCTGCTTGGATTATTTTGATTTTCTAGGAATATTGTTTTGTCAACTGATTTAATGGCCTACAGCAGAAGTCCCCAAACTTGGCAACATTAAGACTCTGTGGACTTCAACTCCCAGAATTCTCCAGCCAGGATGACTGGCTCAGGAATTCTGTGAGTTGAAGTTCACAAAGTCTTAATGTTGCCAAGGTTGGACACCTCTATGGTGAAGCATCTATGAGTCTAAGTGGATCTTGTGCAGGCTCCTTTATTTCTGATAGGATCACTGCCCGCTGTCAGCTCCAACAGCACAAGCACCAAGGAAATCAATAGTGTTAGACGCCACTCTATGTCCTTTTATCCTCTTTGCAAATATAGTTTTGGAGCTTAGCATATCCAAAATTGACAACAGCAGCGATTATGTATAGCCTGCTCAATAAGGGGGTTTTCTGAACAGGCACATGGCCCTCTAGGGACAAGGTTTCAAGACCCTTGGATATCTGGAGAGGACAGATTTTTTTTCTGTTAAGGAACCCAAATCATAAAAAGTGAGCACCTAAATACTTTAAACATTCTACTCGCCAATAAGATAGCAATGGAGACATACTGATCATTCTCTTACCTGCAGACCAGATAAATAGGTACCCTGGGGGTAAACAGCTGGTGGGAGGCCAATGGGATGCTTGAAACTGCAGCAACAGGAAACAAGTCCACCCACCATCTGTCAAGTCCGAAGAATCAGCATGCGGATGCTGCTTAAGAGATGTTTCCTTTATTGTTCTTCACCTATAGACAGAATCTTGACAGACTAAAGCAAGCATTTACATAACTACAGCTATACTCGAAGTATTTTCCAAAGCACCAGAAGGCATGACAAGAAACAGTGGTTGGAAACTAATCAAGGAGAGAACCAACCTAGGAGAAATGTTCTAATGGCGAGAGCAATCAACCAATGGAATAGTTTGCCTTCAAAAGTTGTGGGTGCTCCATCACTGGAGGCTTTTAAGAAGAGTCTGGAAAACCATTTGCCTGAAATGATATAGGATCTCCTGCTCGAGCAGGGGGTTGGAGTAGAAACTTCCAACTCTAATATTCTATGTATTACTCTGGGAAAAGCTAGTGAGGAGCCGCTTAACCCTCTTTCTGCAATCAAACTTCCCAAATTCTGCTGCCTCTTTGCCCTCTGGAAAGCAGCTCCTCCCCTCTGGGACTCCAGACTACATTCCACCATATCACCTTAGTCCCTTACTGCAATATGCTCTACATAGGGCTGTCCTTGAGGACTACAATTATTGGACCCAAATGCAGAGACATGGATAATGATGGGCATTTCTTGTGATGACGCCACACTCTGTGACTTCCACCAGCTGCCAGTTTTAGCCTCCAAGTGTAATTTAAGATTACCACCTTTAAGGCCCTTACAGTGCATAGAAATAGAAATAGAATAACAGAGTTGGAAGGGACCTTGGAGGTCTTCTAGTCCAATCCCCTGCTTAGGCAGGAAACGCTACACCACTTCAGACAAATGGTTATCCAATCTCTTCTTTAAAACTTCCAGTGCTGGAGCAATTACAACTTCTGGAAGCAAGTTGTTCCAGTGATTACCATATTTTTTGCTCCATAAGATGCACTTACCCCCCCTCCAAATTGGGTGGAAATTGTGCATCCTATGGAGCAAATATTGGGGGGAGGGGGTTGGTGTGGGTGTGGCATTCACCACCGCCTGTCACTGCCGCTGCTGGGAAACACTGGAGCCTTCATAGCCAAACAGCTGATTGGTGGTTGGATCGGCTTCCCAGAATACCACTGATCAGCTGTTCTGGGAGGTGGGGATCGCCGCTATTGCCGCCACTGCCGATCACTGCTGATTATTGCTGCCGAATGGCAGCAGTCGGTGGCGGTGATCGGCAGTGGTTGCAATCAGTGGCAGCAATCTCCGCTGTCTGGAACAGTTGATCGGCAGTATTCTGGGAGGCTGATCCAACTGCCAATCAGCTGCTTGTGCTGAATCAGGCCGCAATAACGTGATGAAGCTGACCAGGCTGTTTGCTGTTTGCTGCAAGGATGTTAGCCAGATGAATACAGATGGATGCTGGGAGGCAGAGGCAGACTTTTTTTTTTTGTTTTCCTCCCCAAAAGCGTCTTAAGTTCCAGAGTGTCTTATACAGAAGTGGCATTCAGCAGGTTCTGACCAGTTCTGGAGAACCGGTAGCGGAAATTTCGAGTAGTTTAAAGAACCGGCAAATCCCACCTCTGACTGGCCCCGCCCCCATCTATTCTCTGCCTCCCGAGTCCCAGCTGATTGGCTGGGTCTTCTTTGGTTGCCCTGCACAGGAGAACGGAGCTGGAAAGCAGGTTAGTGGGGTGGGGAGGGAATGGGGACTTTACAGTAACCTTCCCCTGCCATGCCCACCAAGCCACACCCTCAGAACCAGTAGTAAAAATTTTTTGAATCCCATCACTGTTCTTATAGTGCAAAAATATGGTAATTGTTCTGTCAGGAAATTTCTCCTTAGTTCTAAGTTGCTTCTCTCCTTGATTAGTTTCCACCCATTGCTTCTTGTCCTGCCCTCAGGAGCTTTGGAGAATAGCTTGACCCCCCCCCCCCTCTTCTTTGTGGCAGCCCCTGAGACATTGGAACACTCCTCTCATGTCTCCCCTAGTCCTTCTCTTCATTAAACTAGGCATACCCAATTCCAGCAACTGTTCTTCATATGTTTTAGTTTCCAGTTCCCAGTTAGGTGGGCTTTTTTCCCCAGGATGTTGCCTGCTCCACATGCTCTGAGAAGGACAGAGCCCTCTGGGTCCAGGAGGCATGACTGTGGTGGCCCCTATTACATAGAATGACCTGGGTCCTGCTTGTCTTTAGAAATGCAGTCAAGATTTGGCTCTTTTTCCAGGCCTTTGGGGAAAAGTTAGCACCTCAACTCTATGTTGTTGCTGTTTGGGAGTTATTTATTCGTTTAATTTTCATCCAGCCTTTATTTATTTTTTAATAAACAACAAGACGGCAAACATACCTAATACAGGTAGTCCTTGACTTACAACTATTCCTTTAGTGACTGTTCAAAGTTACTACTGAACTGAAAAAAGTGACTTATGACCATTTTCCACACTTACATTTGCAGCGTCCCTAGATCACATGACCCAAATTTGGACGCTTGGCAGTGGGCATGTATTTATGATGGTTGCTGAGTCCCAGGAACATTTTTATGATCTTCTGAAAAACAACATCAATGGGGAAGCTACCATGTTACTAACAACAGCTGCAGTGATTAACTTAACAACTGTGGCAAAACATGATGTAAAATGGGACAAAATTCACTTAAAAACTGTCTTACTTAGCAACAGACATGTTGGGCTCAATTGTGGTTGTAACTTGAGGACGATCTGTACTCCTTCCTCCTCCTATTTTCTGCACCACAGCCAGATTAGTTTAAATTCTTTCACTATTGTGGAGGTTTTTGTATTGTGGTTTTATATTCGTTTCCTTATCTTTTGTTAGATTTGTCTTGTAAGCTGCTCAAGATCGGTTTGATTTGAGTTGGGTGGCCATACACATATTTTAAGTAAATAAATAACCAGGAGAAATCATTCTCAGAGTCCACAAATGAATGGGTGTTACTGAGTTCTCTAGTTCCAGAGATATGCACAGTGGGCTTGTGCTCTTATTTCAATACTTACAATACACACCTTTTTTTCTCAGAAAGGAATTCAACGTTTCCATCTTCTGTAAGCACCTTACTTCAAAATAAAACAGCCACATCGCAAATGAACACCCAGCTACAACAACATGGTTAGAATTGCAATTAATATTGCCTGATTCTATTAAATAGAGATAATCCTGTAGGCAATGCAATATTTTTCAACCCTGGCCACTTTAAGATGGGTGAAGTTCAACTTGCAGAAGTCCCCAGCCAGCACTCTGGCTAGGGAATTCTGGGAGTTAAAAGTCCACCCATCTTTAAAGTTGTCAAGGTGAAAAACACTATCGTACGATAGTTCATTTCTAAGTCATTTCTCTCTCCCAGATGATCTCCGAAGTACCTTCCAACTCACTTTTTGATAACCCCACGTGGATAGGCAGCAAACAAATTTAATAAATAAATTCTATGACACGTGTCCCTTTGCAATCCAACCGAATTATTCCCTAAAGCATTTACAATTGCAAACATTTTCCTGCTTGAGCAGGGGGCTGGACTAGAAGACCTCCAGGGTCCCTTCCAGCTCCATTGTATTATAATTTCGTGACGCCACCATTCCAATTTTGAAGACCACCTGCAAGCCTTAAAGAGGAATTATTTTAGCCAATTAGGAAAATATAACAGCCTTGAATGGGGATTTTCGCTTCCACCAAGCAACCCCAGAGCGCATCTCCAGCGCCCTCCTGCGCTCGTCCGGATTTTTTATTTTTATTTTTTAATGTTTGCAGCCCAGGCTGAGCAGCCCTAAACCGACGTTCTCCTCCCCCGAAGCCACCCGCTCGGCTCTTCCCCCCCGCTTAGGAAGGTGGAGACTCGGCGGGGAGGAGGGTCACAGCCTCGGCTGCCCTCCAACCTGACGCTCCTCGGCTGGGCGGAGACCAGGCAGGCGTCTCTCTTTTCCCCCACCCTTCCTTCCGTCTCCACGTTGCGCCAGGGCGAGGCAGTCGCGTCCGTGTAGCCAGCCGCTGTATCGGGAGGCCGGGCGTCCGATCTTGGCTTGGGAAGCCGGCCGGAGCCGTTTTCCAAAGAGGCGCCTCCCGACGACGTCTTCCCCGCTTCTGGAGACGCGTCATGTCAGGCTTGGATTATCTGGCCGCCGAGTGCCTGATGTCCATCTCCAGCGGGGCCTTGATCCACCCGGCCTCCGGCCTCATCAGCGTCAAAGAAGAGCGAGGAGGGCGTCCCCCTTCCCTCCCCAGCGCCTGTCACCCGGGCCGCCCCGGCTCTGCGCTTTCGGACAGCAGCGGGAGCTGCTCCTCATCGCCCGGAGGGAGCGAGCTGCGAAGCGGCGTCCCGGTCCTGCCGCAGGCGGGGGAGCTTCCCCGAAGAGCCGGCGCAGACAGCCCCGCCAGCCTCTCGGCCATCTCCCCGGCCAAAAGGCACCAGTGCCCTTTCCAAGGCTGCATTAAGGTCTACGGCAAATCCTCGCATCTGAAGGCGCATCTCAGGACGCACACCGGTAAGAGCCTAACCTAGCCAAGCCAAACCGTGCCCTGGATTGGATCCTGCGTCCCTCCTCCCCTGTTGCTCCCGGTGGAGACCCCCGACGGGGGTGCCTTGAAGTCCTCCAGGACCGCTTCCCCCCCCCCCCCCGCCCCCCCGCCCTCACCCTTCGAGCCCCCGCGGCCCCCCCCCCCCCCCCATTCCCGCTTCCTCACCCCCTCCCCGCTCAGTCTCCACCCACGTGGTGACCGCGCCTCTCTCGGCTTTGGCGCACGGATTTCCTCTCGGTCCGGAGGGAGGCGTTTCGCAGGGCTGGTCGCTTTCCTAACCACCCTTGCTTCTCTAGCTCGGGGGACGTGGCGGGGAGGACGGGGACCTGCAAGCTTTCGCCTCCCACCCTCTCTTGATTCCTCTTCCCCCTCCCCCTCCCCCCGCCAAGGAAAGAAAGATGCCGTCCCCCGCCCCATGGGATCCTTGCTGGCCCCACGTGCTTGGCCGGGCAGCTCGAAAGCGAAAGTGGATTGGGAGGAGGGAGGCAGGGGAGACTTTGGCCGACCCCTCCTGATCGGCGCGGGTCTTTAGCCTGAGGGCACTCGCAGGTGATGGCGCTGCCGATGGCGCAGTAGAGCCTCTGCGTTCCAAAGCAGGCTACCCTAGAAGGAATTACAGGCGCGCCCTGGAGGTGTTGCCTTTACTAGGGCGCTTCCAATTGCATACTCTGCCTTCCTGTTGCGCCCCGCTCCCCGACAAGGAAACGGGGAGGGTCTTTCTGGCTCGCTTAGAGCCCCCGCCTCTTCGGAAAGGTTCCCTTGGAGATGGCTGCTCAAATCTCGCCCACTCTTGTTGGCAGAGCCTGGTCTCTGCTGCCTACGCCGGACGGTCGGAGAGAGAAAGAGAGGGAGGAGTGGCCATCCGGGGTGGCCTGATGGAATGGGGGCCTCCCCGTTGGAATTTAATCCCGGGGCGGAGCGGGGGATCTAGCTCTGGATTGTTCCCCGTGGATCCAGAGCCTCTTCTCCCTGCACGGCTTCCCCACCTCCCAATTTAAGAGGGTCACAAAGGGTGGTGCAATTGTCGCTGCAGCCGGGGGTGGGTGGAGCAACGCGCGAGCGCAAGAAGCCGCGTGGGTGTGTCTGCCAAAGGGTCGCGCCTCTGCCTTGCCGATGCCAGCGCAAAGCAGATCGCAAAAGAGAGCAGATAAAAAGCATAAAAAGAGTTTCAATTGTGCCAAGAAGAGCAAGCCATCTGCCAGCTAGATTATTATTTGGGGCCACCTCTTTGCAGTGTTCTTGGCAACTCACTCCCAAGAAAAATATCCATCTTGGCTAAGCCGGGCCCTGAATGAAAGGCCCACTGTAACCTGAAGTGTGGATTTGGGGCTGGGAAGAGGAGGAGTTGGTTCAAACCACCCCTCAAGGTGGAAATCCACTGATGACCTTCAGAAGACCTTGCTCAAAGTTGCCCTACTTTTGCAGGGGGCGGTGGGAGGGCCAGCAAATGAATTGATGCCATCTTGTAGAGGATGCTAACTTGGTGGGGTTTATTTCTCAGGGACCACACCTTCCAAAACCTGGTACAGAGTCAGTGCAGAAGTGTTAAATGCCTGTGGCCTGGGTGAGTTCACTAGAGGCTACTATTTACTGCTTTGTTTGTCTCCCCACCACACTTCTGGAGTTGTGCAGAAGGCAAGCTGGCTGGTGAGACCCTTCACTAATGGGGTGGGTTTAAAGGAGGACTCTCTAGGGCCATTCTTCCCAACCTGGCCCTGTTTGCCACTCTGCAACTACAACTCCCAAGATGCCTCGCTGTGATCTTCCTATATTTCTAATGTGGGCAGTGTTTATCCATCTGTGGGTGTAAAAGGAGATGGGGAGGGGGGGAGGGAAAGGATGAATTTTGATAGCAGGGATCCTTTCAATGTGCCAGGAGAAACCTCGGCTGCTTGTTTTGTGTCAAGTATGTTTGGTGCCCTTAATCCTCTGGTGGGCGGATAGTTGGGTTAAGCAGCTGGCAGGATTGTGTAGGCAAAGGCATAAAAGCTTGATTTAAAAAAAAAAAAAAAACAGTGTGGGAGAGGCTTTCTTTGCCCAGATGCTATCGTGTTTAAAGTTGGTGGTTTCTCTGAACTTGCTGAAGCTGGCACATGAATACATTTACAAGCTGTTAAGCATACAGGGTCTTGCAGCAGCCTGCCACGTGCAAAGATTTGGACATGATTTCCCCCCCCTAACTTTTAGAAGAAAGCCAAAGGACAGTATTGTGGGGACATAAAGACCCTGGGCAGTAGAGTACTGGGTATAAATGGAAGACTGTTAAGCGGAGAAAGTCAAATCCTCTGAAGCTTGCAGTGGGCAGTAAATCCAGCAAAAATGTATTATTCCAGCTGTTTCAAGGTTGCTGGCATGCAATAGAGTCATAGATGTGTGTGCCTGTCATGCCTACATTTATTTGATTATTATCCCACCTTTACTACTTTAGAGAAGTAACTCGAGGCAACAAACATACTTAATACTCATCCCTCCTCTTATTTTCCCCTCAACAAGCCTATGAAATGGATTGGGCTGAGAGAGATTGATTGAAGTACCCAGCCAGCTGTCATGCCTAAGGCAGCCCAAATTGGCTCAATTACCCAGGAGACTTTCATGGCTAAGGCAAGCCTAGAACTAGAAACCCAGTTTGGTGTAAAGGTTAAGGCACCAGGCTAGAAAGTGAGACACTTGAGAGTCATGTTTGGCATAAAAGCCAGCTGGGTGACTTTCGGCCTGTCATTCTCTCTCAGCCCAACCCTCCTCACAGCATTGTTATTGTGGGGCAAATAGGAGGAGGAAGATGTGTTGGATGTTTGCTGCCTTCAGTTATTTGTAAAAATAATAAAGGTAGGATACAAATAAAAAAATCAAAATCAAATCACAGTCGCCTGGGCCTAAAGTCACCCAGCCAGCTTTCATGCCTAAAACAGGACTAGAACTCACAATCCTTACCTCAAGCTGGTTCTCATGTAACATAATTGAAGGCTGTGAAGTCATTTGGTGCTTTGGTCTTTGTAACTATATCCTGTTGTTCAAATTTAAAACTGATCTTGTCCCCTAGTGAAATTGTCCTCGGTTGGAGATTGAAACGAGGTCTTTGCAGATGTAATTTGGGCAGAAGGCGAGGAGAGGGGAACAAAATGTACGCCCTGTGATTTAATAACAGCAATCAGGACCAGGCAAGGGGCCTCCCTTCCTTACATTAAACTGCTGAGTTGCAGAAAGTTCAGTGGAAAAGTGGATTTCTATGTGTAAGAAATAGAAGTTTAGTTCCAGGACTAAAAGAATGCCAGTTTGATCTAGTGGTTAAGACACCAGGCTAGAAAGCAGGAGACTCTGAGTTCAAGTCCTGCCTTAACCATGAAAGCTGGCTGGGTGACTTCGGGCCAGTCACTCTCATACTCTCTCTTTCAGCCCAGCCCACCTCACAGCATTGTTGTTTTGGGGAAAATAGCACGAGAAAGATGTGCTGGATATGTTCAGGGCCTTGAGTTATTTGTACAAAATAATAAGGGCGGGATAGAAACAAACAATTGAAAAAATAATAAAAAAACAACTATTGGGGCCAAATGTGGGCTTGGCTTTGCTCCTCCTTCATCCTCTGCTATTGATTTCCACAGAGTTTTTTTTACATCTGTAAAGTTAAGCAGAATTTTCATGCTCTATCCACCAAAATCCTCTTTCTTCTCCTTCAAAAGAAAACTTCAAAAAGCAATTTTCTTTCAGTGGGTTGTACAATAAATGAAGGTTAACTTTTCTTCATGGTGCTGGTCTTTTTCTTAATCGTCCTAAAAACTTGCAACCCTACTTTTCAACTTTTTCCACATATTGTGTTACATTATAAAACACGTTTTTGTTTCCCCAACTTCCTTCCTTGTACTAGGAAATCTCTATCTGATTGATGATAATCTGGGAGGGTTTCTTTGCATTCATTATTTTATAAGAGGATAAAATATAGGTAAAATAGCTATTTACACCACAATAACAAAGTTTTGTTAAGCAATCCTTTACAAATATAAAACCAGAAAAAGAAAAGCGAGAGAGAAATAAACAAAAAAGGTGTGTCTTATATATTAAGCTTACAGTTACTGGTTTACTAAAGTACCACATAATATTATAGTAATCAGATACAAAATGTTACTTTAAAATTATCCTAAATCCTTCCTAACCATGGAAGAATTTGCTTAATCTTTTGATTAGTAGAAAATACTGCCTTTCTCCAGAATGGATAAATTACATATTTCAAAAGCCAATCTTTAACATCTGGAATAATACTGGAAAATACCCAATTTCTCAACATTATTCTTTTAGCCTCCACCCATGTGTGGTAAATCCTTATTTCTTACAGTCAAATTCCAGAGTTTTGTTACATCCTTCAACATCACACATCTTTAATCTTTAAAGATTTCTCCATACATCTATTTAGATATGGGTAGTCCAGTGGTGGGATTCAAAATTTTTTACTATCAGTTCTGTGGGCGTGACAGGGGAAGGATACTGTAAAATCTCCAGTCAGAGATGGTATTTGCCGGTTCTCCAAACTACTCAAAATTTCCGCTACCGGTTCTCCAGAACTGGTCAGAACCTGCTGAATACCACCTCTGGGGTAGTCCTTAACTTATGACCACAATTAGGACCAGAATTTCCATTGCTAAGCAAGACAGTTGTTAAATGAGTAACATCTATTTTATGATCTTATTTGCCACAGTTGTTAACTGAATCACTTCAATTGTTAAGCGAATCATGTAGTTGTTAAGCAAATCCAGCTTCACCTATTTACTTTGTCGAAAGCTGGGTTGCAAATAGTGATAACTTGACACTGGGAATCTGCAACCATTGTGAATACATGCTACAGTAGTTACCAAGCACCTGAATTTTGATCAAATGACCATGGGGTGCTGCAACAGTTGTAAATATGAGGACAAGTCACTTTTTTCAGTGCCATGGTAATCTCAAATGGTTGTAAATTGAAGACTTAACTGCTACC